CAGAGCTTATCTAACGCACCATCAGAGAATCCACACTGGAGAAAGACCCTACAAATGTAAAGAATGTGGGAAAGCCTTTAGGCAGAGAATACACCTTAGCAACCATAAAACTGTTCATACAGGAGTGAAAGCATATGAATGCAACCGCTGTGGAAAAGCCTACAGGCATGATTCATCCTTTAAAAAGCATCAGAGGCACCATTCTGGAGAAAAACCTTATGAATGCAATGAATGTGGAAAATCCTTCAGCTATAATTCATCACTAAGTCGACACCAAAAAATACACAGGAGGAATGCCTTCCGAAATAATCTTTAAAAAAAAAACAACAACTGACATGGGAACAAAAGCCAAGTCTTTTTTTTTTGGGGGGGGGGGGGGAGTCAGTGGTGAGGCTTGAACTCTGGACCTGTGTGCTGTTCCTCAGCTCAAGGCTAGTGCTCTATCACTTGAGCCACAGCGTCACTTCTGGCTTTTTCTGCTTATGTGGTGCTGAGGAATCAAACCTAGAGCCCCATGCATGCAAGACAAGCATTCTACCACTGAGCCACTTTCCCAGCCCCTAAAAAGCCAACTCTTAAATCGGTGATTCTAAGCTTTAAGATCTGAGGACTCAAAACCATTTGAGAAAGTGACATAATGATAGCAACTTTTATTTTTGCCTGATGTGTAAATAAGCACTATATTGATAATGACTGCCTACTATACCTCTATACAAAATACTTAAGGATAAAATCTGGTTTTTGGAGTTAAATAAATTCATCATTATGAAAAACAATATAATTTTTTTGATTTCATGGTTATTTAATTTCTCATGGGCATTTACTTACCAAATAATTTTTGTGCACTCTTGCAGCTTTTTCTGTTTATGTCCACAAGAATGCCAGTGGGTTTTAAGCAGAAATGGCAGTACAAGAATATCTGCATATTACTTTCAGGTTTTTAATTGTTATTATGAAGGTGATGTACAGAGGGGTTACATAAGTTAAAGAGTACATTTTTTAGTGCTCTATATAGTTTTTTTTTTTTTTTGTCGATCGTGGGGCTTGAACTCTGGGCCTGGGCTTGTCCCTCAGCTCTTCAACTCAAGGCGAGCGCTCTACCACTTGAGCTACAGCGCCACTTCCTAAAGAGTACATTTTTAAAAAAAATTTTTTTTGGCCAGTCTTGGGGCTTGAACTCCTGAACACTGTCCCTGAGCCTCTCTGTGCGCAAGGCTAGCACTCCACCACTCAGTGCCACTTCTGGCTTTTTCTGTTTATGTGGTACTGAGGAATTGAACCCAGGCCTTCATGCATGCTAGGCAAGTAATCTACCACTAAGCCACATTCCCAGCCCAAGAGTACATTTCTTTTTTCTTTTTTTTTTTGGGTCCGGTCGTGGGACCTCAACTCTGGACTGGGTGCTGTCCCCCAGCTCTTCAGCTCAAGGCTAGCGCTCTACCACTTGAGCCACAGCGCCACTTCCGGCTTTTTTCTTTTTGCTTATGTGGTGTTGAGGAATCGAATCCAGGGCTTCAGGCATGCAAGGCAAGCGCTCTACCACTGAGCCACCTTCCCAGCCCCCCAAGAGTACATTTCTTTAATATGGTAATAACATTCTACACATTTTTTTTGGGGGGGGGTCCTGTCATGGGGCCTGAACTGGGCCTAGGCACTGTCCCTTAGCTCTTCAGCTCAAGGCTAGCATTCTACTACTTGAGCCACAGTGCCACTTCCGGCTTTTTTCTTTTTGCTTATATGGTGCTGAGGAATAGAACCCAGGGCCTCAGGCATGCAAGACAAACATTCTACCACTGAACCACCTTCCCAGCCCCATTCTACACATTTCTATGTGAGTAATGCATAGTTGATTCCCAGAATTGAAATTTCTGTGCTAGTGCGTATGTACTTGTACTAGCAAACTGATGATAGCAACTGAACCACTTTTCCACCAAGAAGTTACAAAACTGTAGAAGCTGAAGCAGTTCAGCAGTCTTGTCAGCTATCAAAGAAGCATCAGGTGTGGTGATGTATGCCTGTAATCACAGGCTGAGGCAGGAGGGCTGCCAAGTTTAATCAAGACCAGATCACTCTCAAAAACAACTTGCTTAATAACAAGAAAGAGGAACAGCAATATCTTAACCTCAGCAAGACAGCTGACCCAAATCCCCCGTATATAGTAGTACTCTCAATTGCAGAAGCCACAAATAAATACACATATTCTTGAAGAGTAGTCAAGCCCACCTAGTCTTATCTAGAGAAGGAGGGGAAGCCTTTATGTCAACTGCTCCATTTCCTGACTTGAGGTTGGGACTGATGGATGAGACTCACTTTAAGGCCACTGACCTACTTAGAGAATATAATCTTGGCTGCAAACCTTTTAATTGGAATGGAGAATTATAATCTTAATGACAGGGTATACAAGGAATAATTGACCATTTATAGCATTTTACAAGATATTACTGTTAGGCTAACACACAAGAGGGGTACAAATTTCTACTTAATAGGCATTTATTAGCATTAATTAGTTAACATTATTTGTGAAAGCTGAGCACTGTTAGGATCACAGTGATTTTTTTTTGGGGGGGTCGGTAATGGGGCTTGAACTCTGGGCTTGGGCACTATCCCTCAGCTCTTCAGCTCAAGGTCAGCGCTCTACCGCTTGAGCCACAATGCCACTTCTGGGTTTCTAGTAGTTTATTGGAGATAAAGAGTCACAGAGTTTCCTGCCTAGGCTGGCTTTGAACCGTGATCCTCAGATCTCAGCCTCCTAAGTAGCTAGGATTACAGGTGTGAGCTACCAGCGCCCAGCGATCACAGTGATTTTTGTGTTTAGTTTTCAATCTTATTAACACTTTATTAAAGCTTTAATTCTTCAGTGTTAATAGATTTCCTCTCTGCTCCTACCACTAAAGAAGCCAGACTCCAAAACCCAGGACCTCCATTATTATCTAGTGCTACTTTATAGCTTCATCTCATTTATCTTTCTCCTCCCCATATGGGCTCTGACTAAATTCAGTATATTATGAGTTATTGGTTTGCAACAATTGCTTTGATTATAGGAATCTGAAGAAGACATCAAAACAAATTCAGTAGGGCTACTTTTAAGTTTCACAGGTTGGTATTTGGAGCCGGGCACCGGTGACTCATGCCTGTAATCCTAGCCATTCAGGAGGCTGAGATATGAGGATCCCGGTTCAAAGCCAGCCCGGGCAGGAAGGTCCGTGAGATGGAAGTGGTGCTGTGGCTCAAGTGGTAGAGCGTTCGCCTTGAGCGAGGGACAGCGCCCAGGCCCAGAGTTCAAGTCCCATGACAGACGAAAAAAAAAAAAGATGGTATTTTTAGAAAAATCTTGAAAATATCATAGAACTCAGGAGCTTCCGTATATGCTAACAGTATGAACACAAACAAAAGGATATTTCCCCACATAACTCCAAAATCACTACTACACTAATACTGTCAATATCTAAAACAAAAAAGCACTTTAAAAGGACTGGGAAGGTGGCTCGGTGGTAGAGTGCTTGACTTGCATGCATGAGGCCCTGGGTTCGATTCCTCAGCACCACATAAGCAGAAAAAGCCCTAAGTGGCACTGTGGCTCAAGTGGTAGAGCAATCGCCTTGAGCTGAAGAGCTGAGGGACAGCGCCCAGGCCTAGAGTTTAAGCCCCACGACCAACAAAAAAACAAAGCAAAACTTTAAAAATAGATTTTTTGTTTTGTCATGGAAAGACAGGTTCTCTTTTTACATTTTTTCCCCTAAGGATATTCTATAGTGTCACAGAACCTTCGTTGAGGGGACTATCTTTTTCTCTCCATTGCTATGAAATGCCACCGTTTTCTGTAAAGAAAAGAAGTGAGTGTCGTCGGAGCCCGGGGAAGTTGGTATTTGGGAAGGGCCTGCCACTGCTCAAGTTCTGCTCTGATGGCATGTCTGCGGAAAAAGCATTATGCTCTCCTTCATTAACATCTGAAACTGTAACCATAACCTTTTCCAAGGAAAAGGTTAAACTCAAGTAAACGGAGGGGGAAATACACAAATAAAGGGGAGAATCTGCATCTTTGAACAGCCCGCAGCTGGTCCTTCATCTGGGGAAAAGCTGGGGAGAGGGCTAAACGCGTGGGGCACACTGCGCATGCGCCGCGGCCCGGCGCGCTGGGCCGAGGAGTGACAGGTCGGCCCAGAGCTTCTAGCAGGAGAGGTTGCGAGTTCCCACTAGAACAGAACCACACACACACACACGCACACACACACGGCGGGCTCACAAGCCAGCTCCCAGAACTATACCCGAACCTAACTCGTAGCACCGCGAGGACGGGGCGCCCCGCGAAGGCTTCTGGGAGGAGGTGGTGCTCGCGCTGCCGCTGCGCCTTCTGGGATTGGGCTTCCGGCGGCTTCCGGGTGCGCGGTCGGAGAGAGTCCGTGCATTTCCGAGGCTTCCTCCGAACAAAGGGAATCGGGCCTCGGCTGAGCGGAGGTTAGTGGAGGCTACGCGCAGGCTGCGGGGCTGGTCTGGCCGCGCTTCCGAGCCCAGGGGTGTCTCTGCGTCCTCCTTCCTCCCGCTCCCTCCTTGGGGTGGGGGTCAGCCCCACTGCCCCCCCTAGCAGGCCGGGCTCCTGTGGATGCTGGGCCTTCGCCTCGGAAGACCTGGCGATCGGCCACCAGCCTTTCTCAGCGCTGGGGTCTTGGTCCGTCCCCGGACGTTTGTACAAAGTGTTTATTGAGTACATTTGGGTGGTGTAGGTGCTCCGGGCGCACAGTGGTTGGGGTCTGAGGAAAGCGAACTCCTCCAAACTAATCAGAATGTTGAGCCTGAATCAAGGCCGTGACAGTTCCGCCAGAGCGGGAACCCATCGGAGAGCCAGTCTCTCCGACCTGAAATATTCTCCCAGAGTATCGAGTCCGAGGTTGGAGCTAGAGGAAGGAACCGACCTGGAAGCGTTAGTTCTTAATCCGTCCACCTGCAGGGAACCGGGGCTGCATCGAGTAACTGCAGCCAGCGTGTGAGGAAAACGGAGGAGTTGTGCTGGCTCTAGGACAGAGGCAATTGTCACCTAGGGTCTGAGGTGGACGGTCACCTGTGCACTATGGATATGAGAGAAGGAAACATCGGGACGCGAAGGAATGGTCAGGCAAGAAAGGTCCAAAAGCCCCCATTCTACCATAGCAAGACTCCAAGTGGTTAATCTGAGTTTATCCATGCAGATATCATCTTCAGTTTCTTTCTCACTTTGTCCTTTTACTTTTCTGCGCAGATGAGTAGGAGCTTCCTCGCTCCTAAACTTTAATCGTATTTGTCGGAGGAAATAGAATATCATCCCTTTCCTTGGGAAGTGAGAGGAAAACCATATTTATTGTCTACTATGTCTAGCTGACTAGGGTTAGGAGGAGTACCCTACTACTACATGTGTGTACTTGAATACTTGAACATGCATATGTGTGTACTATTGCCTGAACTCAAGGCCTGGGTGCCGTCCCTTAGCTTTTTTTTTTCTCAAGGTTAGCATTCTGCTGCACTTCCAGCTTTTTGGTGGTTGATTGGAATTAAGAGTTTCTTGGACTTTGCTGCCCTTGGCTGGCTTTGAACCCAAATCCTCAGATCTCAGCCTCCTGAATAGCTAAGATTAAAGGTGTAAGCCTATCACATTTTAAAGATGAAATGCTGAGGGACAGCGCCCAGGCCCAGAGTTCAGGCCCCACAACCATCCCCCCCCCCAAAAAAAAAAAAAAAGAAAAAGAATTAAAGTAGTGAAGAGAACAATAGTTTTATAGAATATAAGCAAAAAATTTTAATATTTATTGCTTTTGTTCCTTGCAAGCCATTTATGTATTCCTTCACTAGTGACATTTGGACTAAAAGTTAGGTGAGCACAACCATGACTATTATGAATGGTATAGTTCTTCAACATGAGAACTGATACATTTGGCTTACTTATCGCTTATTTGAATAATAAAATGGAAGCCCTTGGCTCATAGCTACCTCTGTCAGCTCAGATTCTCAGTAAAATCATTTTTCTGGCACCCAAAGTCAAAGATATGAGAGAAAAAAACAACAAACAAATGTAATGTATAGCCTTCGCTTCCTAGTCTAAAGAAATGCTAGGACAGGATGGGAACTTTGAATATAGACTGGAATGTTAGGGAATTCTTCTGTTGGGTATGAAAATAGTATTGTAGTCATGTAGACAAATCCTATTTGGGCCGATAATTCACTTTAAGTCAGCCAAGAATAGTACACAGTTGCACATATACATGGTATATACATGGTGCTCATTGTTTTCCGGCTTCTACTTCTATGTTTTGGAAATATTTCCTAGTTTAAAAAAAGAGTATGTAGGGGCTGGGAAGGTGGCTCAGTGGTAGAGTGCTTGCTTAGCACATGAGGCCCTGTGTTCAATTCCTCAGTAATACATAAGCAGAAAAAGCCAGAAGTGGCGCTGTGGCTCAAGTGGTAGAGTGCTAGTCTTGAGTTGAAGAGTTGAGGGACAATGCCCAACCCCAGAGTTCAGGCCTCATGACCGGCAAAAAAAGAAAAAAAAAAGAGTATGTATCCCTAGTTAGGGTAATCAAATTATAAATGTAAATAACTTAATTTAGTGTAGCATATAATAACTGCATAATGCATGTTTACTTTTACTTACAGCAATACACTTTGGAGTTTTAGTCATGCGTAGAGATAGTTATTTCTCTTTTTACCTCTCCTCTTTACCTGTTGGTACTGGGGATTGAAACTATGACCTTAAGCCTGTTAGACAAGCACTTTACCATTTAAACCATGCCCTCAGCCCTTTTGTCTAGCTGTCCTCAAATTCACAAACCAGTCTCTTATCTCTCCAACAGCTGGGATTACAAGTGTATACCACCATGCTTAATTTCTCATTGAGAGAGAAAATAAAATTAGTGGTAGAGCCAGGCACTGGTATCTCACACCTGTAATCCCAGCTAGTCAGGAGGCTGAGATTCGAGGATTGTGGTTCAAAAGCAGTGTGGGCAGGAAAGTCCGTGAGACTCTTATCTCCAATTAACCATCAGAAAACCGGAAATGGCAATGTGGCTAAAGTGGTAGAGGGCTCACCTTGAGCTGAAGAGCTGAGGGACAGCACCCCAGGCCTAGAGTTCAAGCCCCACAACTGACAAAAAAAAAAAAAGTGACAGATAATATAAGGAGAATAATGTATAAAGTTAGTAAGGGTAAGGGTAAATTAAATCCACCAAGAGCTTTTACTCACTGCCTTTCCCTTAACATATCTCAAGAATCATTGTCATTAAGAATGATAAAATAGCCAGGCGCTGGTGGCTCATGCCTGTGATCCTAGCTACTAAGGAAGCTGCAACTGAGGATCATGGTTCAAAGCCAGCCGAGCAGGAAAATCCGTGAGACTCTTATCTCCAATAAACCACCAGAAAATCAGCCTTGAGCTGAAGAGCTAAGGGACAGCACCCAGGCCCAGAGTTCAAACCCCATGACTGACCAAAAAAAAAAAAAAAAAGGCAAACCTCAAATCTCTCTTTCTATTTGAATGAATTGAGGCCAACAAAGGTGATTTACTTAAAGTTATACACAATTCTTTATTGGGAAATCTAGGCATAAAATTATTCCTCCACTTAAAAGATTTCTGCCATACTGGGGATATATCTCAGTGTTAAATCACCTGCCTAGCAAGTACTAGGCCCTGGATTCTATCCCTAACTCTGAAAAAAATTATTTTTTTGTAAGGCATGGATGATAGAACGACCACTTTTGGTAAAATCTGAGTGTATGTAACTCTTACGTATTTCTAATTGGCTTCTTTTAAGAAGTAGTTTGTAAGAGCTGGGGATATAGTTTGTTGGTAGAATGCATGCCTAGTATTCACAAGGCCCTGAGTTCAATCCCTAAGACTACAGATAAAAGAGTTGTGGGGGCTGGGAATGTATCTTAGTGGTAGAGTGCTTGCCTAGCATGCATGACGCTCTGGGTTTGATTCCTCAGTATCACATAAACAGAAAAAGCCAGAAGTGGCGCTGTGGTTCAAGTGGTAGAGTGGTATCCTTGAGCAAAAAGAAGCTCAGGGACAGTGCCCAGGTGCTGAGTTCAAGCCCCAGCACTGGCAAAAAAAAAAAAAAAAAAAAGTTTTGCCGGGTGCTGGTGGCTCACACCTGTAATCCAGCTACTCAGGAGGCTAAGATCTGAGGATTGCAGCTCAAAACCAGCCTAGGCAGGAAAGTCCGTGAGACTCTTACCTCCAATTAACCACCAGAAAACCGAAAGTGGTGCTGTGGCTCAAGTGGTAGTGCAGTAGCCTTGAACTGAAGAGCTTAGGGACAGAGCCCAAGCTCCACAATCGACCCCCCCCCCAAAAAAAAAAAAAAAAAGTTGTGATTTATCTCACTGGAATTTGAAAGTGCTTTGAGGAGGTATTTTTATTGGAAAAATGTATTTCTTTAAAATGTTATGCAGGGCCTCCTTGTTTAGTCCAGAGCTGTGCCATGGCGGAAGCTAGGGAAGAGGAAACTGTGTCAGCAGAAGCCTCGGGGTTCTCAGACTTGAGTGACTCAGAGTTCCTAGAGTTTCTGGACCTGGAAGATGATGAAAAATTATGTGCTTCACTTAGCAAGCCCGGTTCTTCCTCTGAACTCCCTGAGAAGGATGATAAGCCTCTAAGCTTACAGAACTGGAAAAGAGAATTGGATGTCTTATCACCCATGGAGAGATTTCACCTAAAATATTTATATGTCACTGACCTGACTACTCAGAGCTGGTGTGAATTGCAAATGGCATATGAGAAGGAGCTTCCTGGTGATTTGAAACCAGAGAAGGCAGCTGTTTTGAACACTGGTGCTAGCATCCACCTGGCTAGAGAACTAGAACTTCATGATCTTGTGACTATCTCTGTCACCACTAAAGAAGATGCTTGGGCAGTTAAGTTTCTGAACATACTATCAATGATTCCTACCCTGCAGTCAGAAGGGCGCATCAGAGAATTTCCAGTGTTTGGGGAAGTGGAAGGTATGTTTCTTGTTGGAGTGATTGATGAGCTGCACTATACAGCCAAAGGAGAATTAGAACTGACAGAACTCAAGACACGCAGGCGCCCTATGCTCCCTCTGGCAGCCCAGAAAAAGAAAGACTGTTTTCAAGTCAGTCTATACAAATGTATCTTTGATGCCATGGTGCAAGGGAAAGTGACTCCAGCAAGCCTAATCCAGCACACTAAATTGTGTCCAGACAAGCCACTGGGTCCTTCAGTGCTGAGGCATGCCCAGCAGGGAGGCTTTTCTGTGAAGTCTTTGGGTGACCTCTTGGAGCTAGTCTTCTTATCTCTCACACTATCTGACCTCCCAGTTATTGATATCCTGAAGATTGAGTATATTCATCAAGAAACTGCCACTGTGCTGGGTACAGATACTGTAGCCTTTGAAGAAAAAGAAGTGAGAGGCAAAGTTCAGCACTACATGGCTTATTGGATGGGACACCGAGAGCCTCAAGGGGTTGATGTAGAAGAGGCTTGGAAATGTCGGACATGCAACTATAAAAACATTTGTGAGTGGAGGAGGAGTGGTGGAGTGCTCAGCTCTGCACTGGGGCCCCAACACAAAAAAGCCAGATGAACTCAAGCTCTGCTTTCAGCGATGTCCGTCATCCTCTTCTAATGTATCTGAGTAGTGGGCCACTCTCTGACCTGCTTTTGAGGATATTAATTTTTTTATATTTCTGCAACTTTTGATCATATTCAAATCTAGGACTGAGGCTCAAGGATGAGTAGGAGAGATTTGAGGTACACTGTTCCTCGAGCTTTGATATGTATTTCTAAGATTCTCATCATGTCTGGAAGAAAGGTATCCTGTAGCAATTGTTTTCCTAAGAAAAAAATTTCAGTGTGGCTCGGAGGTAGTGTCCTTGCTAGCCTGCACAAAGCCCCAGGTTCAATTCCTCAAGTCACATAAATGGAAAAGGCCAGAAGTGGCATTGTGGTGTGGTTCAAGTGGTAGAGTACTAGCCTTGAGCAAAAAAAAAGCTCAGGGACAGTGCCCAGGCCATAGTTCAAGTACCATGACCGGCAAAAAAGAAAACAATTTCAAGTTCTAATAAATCTTCCTTTTGCTCAGTGAAATTCTTTGTTTTTCAAGTACTTTCTATATTTCTATGTTTTACATAAAATGTAATGCTATCTAGGAGAGTTGAACTAATAGTTTTATTTTGTTTTCATAACCTCAGCCCTTCAATGATGCCCACTGTATAATTGTAGCCTATTACAAACCCTTAAATTCATACATAAATATTTTGGAATAGAGTTGATAGAAGAGCAAATCAAGAATTTAAGCAGAATATTTTCTTTTTATTTATTTTTAGAATTGTTATGGAGGTGATAAACAGGGGTGTTGCATTTATATGCATCAGGTAATGAGTACATTTCCTTTTGTAAGTGTCATCTGTTCCCTCATTCTCTCCCATCCCCTCCCTCTTGTCTCCACCCACGAATTGTACAGTTCACCTTCATCCATGTCTGGTGTGCTTTACTGCTGCACTTTTCACCCTTTTTCCTCAGATTCTGTGCCCTACCCCACCCCACCCCCCACAGACATGCATGTGAATATATTTCATATAAGGTAAAGAATACAGAATCATCAGAAAAAGAATATTTTTTTGGTCGGTCGTGGGGCTTGAAATCTGGGCCTGTACGCTGTCCCTGCACTCTTCAGCTCAAGGCGCGCGCTCTACCGCTTGAGCCACAGCGCAACTTCCAGGTTTCTAGTGGTTTATTGGAGATAAGAGTCTCACGGACTTTTCTGCCCAGGCTGGCTTTGAACCGAGATCCTCATATCTCAGCCTCATGAGTAGCTAGGATTACAGGTGTGAGCCACTGGCACCTGGCCTAAGAATAAAATTTTTAAAAGTTTTGTTTCCATTTCTTTGGAGTTTGTTTTAGTATGTATATTATTTTATATAAATATGAGGTATTTAGGCATTGTACCTTGGTGATTCCTACGATTATCCTCCTTTGATTTTACTGTATATATCTAGAATCCTGTGTAATTTGTCATATCCCAGTGTGTTTTAGATCTAACTTCTGCATATCAGAGAGAACAAATGCTGTTTGTCTCTCTGATCTTTGCTTACCTCACTTAACATGATTTGTTGTAATTAGCAAAGTATTTTCAATGAAGTGTTAAGGGGAAGAGAAATCAAAATGGCAATATTAAATATGGAAGATACAGATGAAATGACTTTCATACACTGCGAAATCCAGCAATGCTGCCAAGAAAAAAAAATTTTGTTTTTTGCCTTTTTGTGGTATGGGTTTTGGGCCTCATATTTGCTAGACAAATGCTCTCTGTACCTTTTGAGCCATGCCTCCAGTTTAAGAAAAATTTTTATGTGTACAACAAGATAGGAACAACAAGAGTTGCACTTTGACAGTAGCAAAAACCTAGAAACTACCCAGGCCACTAGCATAGTTGATAGGTGGTACAGCTGCCAAAACAAAAGAACTACAGTAGCATGCAACATATGCATCAATTTAGCAATGCATTAGATGAAAGAGGTCCCAAAATACTACACACACAGCATATTACCCTTTGTTATAAAGTAAAAAATACTAACGGCAAAACATTTTAAAGAAAATCTAGCAGTGCGCAGTGGCTCACACCTGTAATCCTAGCTACTCAGGAGGCTGATATCTGAGGATAGTGGTTCAACCCAGACAGGAAAGTCCGTGAGACTCTTTATCTCCAATAAACCACCCGGAAACCAGAAGTGGCACTGTGGCTCAAGTGGTAGAGTGCTTGCCTTGAGCTGAAGAGTTAAGGGACAGCACCCAGGCCCAGAGTTCAAGCCCTATGACCAACCAAAATAAATAAATAAATAAATTAGAAGAAAAGAAAAAAAAAATCTAGGGACTGCGAAGTTGGCTCAGTGGTAGAATGCTTGCCTCGCATTTATGAGGCCCTGGGTTCGATTCCTCAGCACCAAATAAGCAGAAAAAATCCGGAAGTGGTGCTGTGGCTCAAGTAGTAGGGTGCAAGCCTTGAGTTAAAGAGCTCTGAGAGACAGTGCCCAGACTCAGAGTTCAGGCCCTACAACCAACAAAAAAAAGGAAAAGGAAATGTAAAGGTGATGGAGAGAAATCTCAAGCCATCTCAGAACACAGTGGAGTCCTTAGGTACAAACATTACCAAAGAGGCCATAGGAAATGATAGAGTTAGCACTTGTGTATAGAGATACTCAGATAATTTGTAGAAGTAGGTGGATAGAGGAAAATCAGTTGGCAGAGCTGGGATTTCTTTATTAATAGAAAGTTTAAGAGCTAGAAAATATGAATAATGTTAATATGATCCTGCTATTCCTATACTGTTTGAACATATGGGAACTAGAAGTGTGAATCAAGTGTCAGCCATGAACAAAAGCTAAGAATCAGAAGCCTTAAGTTCAACTCCCAGTAGTGGCACCAATAAATAAAGATCTGGACATCAGTAGCAAATAAAATAGGTTACTTCTGGAGGCTTGTCTGATATTTTTATGGACATTGGGAAGCTTGTGAAAGCACTTTCCCATTTGCAGAGAGCCAGGCACTGTGCTAAGGCATGATTAAATCTGTCCACATTTAAGGGAGCTGAGGCTTAGAAGAGTTAAATAACCTTCCTAAGGTCCCACTGCTTGAAAGCAGATTCCAACTGGACACAGGGGCTCATACCTCTCATCCTAGCTATTCAGGAGTCAGAGATTGGGAGAATCATGGTTCAGAGTTTACCTGAGAAAAAAATTAAATGAGAACCCGTTCTCAACTAATAAAAACCTGGGCAAATCACAGATGCATGGGAAATGTACACAGTAAAATTGTGAGCCAATGGGGCTGGAAAAGTGGCTCAGTGGTAGAGTGTTTGCCTTGCATGCCTGAAGTCCTGGGTTTGATTCCTCAGCACCACATAAGCAGAAAAAGCCGAAGTGGTGCTATGGTTCAAGTGGTATGGCATTAGCCTTGAGCTAAAATGCTGAAGGACAGTGCTCAGGGCCAGAGTTCAGGCTCCACGACCTACAAAAAAAAAAAATTTGAGGGCCAAGCTGTCCCTGGCAAAAGTGAGACCCTGAGAGATAAAGCAAAAAAGGGTTTGACTCCAATGGTAGAGCACTATCTACCAAGGGAGAGGCCCTGAAATCAAACTAATACTACCAAAAAGACTTCAGACTAGGTATGTCCTATTGCAATGGTTATTAACCATTGTCCTATAAAGTTTTCTTACTGTTATTAAGATTGTTGGACTATGTACACGTTTAGCAACTCTGAACCAAAATACTGATACCAGAACTGTTTCAGATATCTGATTCTCAAATTTCAGAATATTTGCACTGCATATATAATACAGTATCTTGAGAATAGGACCTCAAGCTGTTGTCCTAATGTAAAATACATTTCTGTCTTAAATACACCTATTCACATTTTCTGGAGGTAATTTTACACAGTATTGCTAGCACAGCTATATTTTGATTGCAACTCATTCCATGAGATCAGGTGTGAAATTTTTCAGCTTCAACAAGTTGGCATTCAAGAGTTTCTGGTTTGGGTTCATTTCAGATGATAGAGTCCAGTGCTCACTGGTATTATTATAGGCTCTATTAAGTTTGGGATTAAACTAGGGGTTATAGTATGCTGGATTTTGTGTGTAAATTAAGTCTTTAAGAAAAGAACTTGCTCTGGGTTCTGTAGCATCTAACTTGTTTTATAGGAAAAGGAAAACAAAACCTGTATCAACTAGATCAAACAGATATATAGAACACTAACCACCACAACAGAATACCATTTCTCTTAAGCACAAATAGCACATTGTCCAAGGCAGACTACATGTTAGGCCACATATTAAATCTCAACTGATTTTTTTTTTTTTCAGTGATACAGAAGTTTGCTTTTGGTGCTCTGCCAATCGAGTTCCACCTCTAGCCTCACTTTTTGCTAGTTATTTTGGAAATGTAGTAGTCTCAAGATTTTTTGAGCCCACCCAGGCTGGCTGGCTTTTTTTTTTGTGGTCCAGTCGTGGGACCTGAACTCTGGGCCTGGGAGCTGTCCCTCAGCTCTTCATCTCAAGGCTAGCACTCTACCACTTGAGCCACAGTGCCACTTCCAGCTTTTTTTGTTTTTGCTTATGTGGTGCTGAGGAATCGAACCCAAGGCCTCAGGCATGCAAGGCAAGCACTCTACCGCTGAGCCACCTTCCCAGCCCCAAATATTTTTTTAATTAAGTTTTTTATTGTGAAAATACTATACAGAGGGGCTGGCTTCAAATATTATCATCCAAAAATCTTGTACAGCCCAGTATTGGTGGCTCTCTCCTGTAATTCTAGTTATTCAAGAGGCTGAAATCTGAAGATCTCAGGGATTAGAGCCTGGGCTGGCTTGGAACCACGATTCTCAGATCTCAGCCTCCTGAACAGCTAGGATTGCAGGCTTGAGCCACTGGTGCAGCTCAGTGAGACTCTCTTATTTATTTATTTGTTGGTCTTAGGGTTTGAGCTCTAGGCCTGGGCCCTGTCCCTGAGCTCTTCAGCTCAAGGCTAGGTTCTACCACTTGAGCCATAGCACCACATCCAGCTTTTTCTGCTTATGTGGTGCTGAGGAATTGAACCCAGGGCCTTATGCATGGTAGGCAAGCACTCTACTGCTGAGCCACCTTTCCAGCCCCTCTGTCAGTCTCTTATCTCCAGTTAACCACCAGAAAACCTGGAAATGGCATGTGGCTCAAAGTGGTAGAGTGCCAGCCTTAAGCAAAAGAGCGTAGGGACAACACCCAGACCCCAAGTTCAGGCCCCACAACTGACAAAAACAAACATCCAGATCTCAGCCTCCTGAGTTGCCAGTGTGAGCCATTGGCCATTGCAAGTCTCAGTACATAAAAAGTTATTTACCAAGTATTTTTTTTTCTTTTTGTCGGTAGTAGGGCTTGAATTCTGGGCCTAGGTTCTGTCCCTCAGCTCTTCAGCTCAAGGCTAGTGCTCTACCACTTGAGCTGCAGCGCCACTTCCGGTTATCTGGTGGTTTATTGGAGATGAGATTCTCACAGACTTTCCTGCTCGGGCTGGCTTTGAACCGCAATCCTCAGATCTCAGCCTCCTGAGTAGCTAGGATTACAGGTATGAGCCACCGGTGCCTGGCTTACCAAGTATTTTCTTCAACCACAACTGTAAGTGATTTGAAATCAGTAAAAGTAGTAAAACATAAATCCACAAATTTGTGGAAACCGACACATTAATGAGTCAAAGATAAAATATCAAAGAAAATTAGAAAATACAGATGAGATGAAAAGACAGAATATTATGAAATTTAAAGGAAATAGTAAAGCATTGCTAAGGTGAGGGGGAGGGAATTCACAGCTATAAATGCTTACATTGTAGGCTGAGAATGTGGCTTAGTGATAGATAGAGTGCTTGCCTTGCATGCATGAAGTCCTGGGTTCGATTCCTCAGTACCACATAAACAGAAAAGGCTGGCTGTGGCTCAAGTGGTAGAGTGTTAGCCTTGAGCAAAAGAAACCCTGAGTTCAAGCCTCAGGACTGGCAAAAAAGAAAAAAAAAGCTTACATTGTAAAATAAAAATCCAGAACCAATAACCTTTCATCTTAAGGAAGTAGGAAAAGAAAAAAAAAAAAAACCTAAAATTTTTTAGAAGGAAGGAAATAAAATTAGAGTAAGGATAAACAATAAGAAAGGTAATAAAGCCAGGCGCTGGTGGCTCACGCCTGTAATCCTAGCTACTCAGGAGGCTGAGATCTGAGGATCACGGTTCAAAGCCAGCCCGGGCAGGAGAGACCGTGAGACTTCTATCTCCAATAAACCACCACAAAACCGGAAGTGGTGCTGTAGCTCAAGTGGTAGAGTGCTCGCCTTGAGCTGAAGAGCTGAGGGACAGCGCCCAGGCCCAGAGTTCAAGCCCCATGACCGACCAAAAAAAAAAAAAAGAAAGGTAATAAAGACTCAAATTACTAAAGCCAGAAATCAAATAGGTATATGACTAGCAGTTGCACTGAAATATAAAGGATTGTAAGAGAAAAAGTGTATGACAAAAAAATGAATGACCTTCATGAAATGAACAAATTCCTAGAAACCAAGAGTAAATCACAGAAGACTAGGAGGACAGAATGCATCTGTAGACAAAGCATCTCTTAGTTGTATACTGGCTTTGCATGTATTTTGTGAGAATGCACTTGCATACCAAACAAGCTGCACCATCAGATGGATTTATTACAGCTAGTCAGCCAAGGTTGACAGAAGCTTGCCATTCTGGGTAACTGACCCTCAAGTCTCAGGTCAGCTTCTCAGGGTGATGGAGGCTTGTATGTGTGTCATTCTGGAAAAGAGCATGCCCTGGGATTCATACCCTGGGGTTAATGACATGATGAACTAAAAGTCGTAAGGATCTATGCCCAAGATCCTGAGGGGCTGTTTCAGCCAGCTTCTTGGGATGCTGCCCTCCCAAAACATTTTATATTTATGCTTGAGAACTCCAAGCAAGAAAGGGAAGGAACAGGGGCTGGGAATGTGGCTCAGTGGTAGAGCGCTAACCTTGAGCTGAAGAGCTGAGGGACAGCGCCCAGGCCCAGAGTTCAGGCCCATGACCGACAAAAAAAGAAGAAAAAAAAAAAAACATTCTACGAGGCCGGCATTAACCTGATATCAACGCCAGACCAAGACATTACAAAAAAGAAAACTAAGGACTAAAATGCCTTAGGAACACTCATGCAGTCCTCCTCAAGGAAAGCCTGCCGGACACCAACACCTTGGCAGTGGCAGGGTGGGGGCAGCACTGGGAGGAGCCAACGGGCAGCACGTGACTGGGTGCCGCTGGCCACGCCCAGGAAGTCCGCATCCGGTCCACCCGCCGGCCCGCCCCGGCACATGTTGACAATCCGAGAGTTCAAAGTGTGTCTTCTCGGGGACACGGGGGTCGGGAAGTCAAGCATCGCGCGTCGATTTACCGAGGATAACTTTGAGCCCAACGTCCATCCCACCATCGGGGCGTCTTTTATGACCAAAACCGTGCCTTATGGAAACGAGCTTCACAAGTTCCTCATCTGGGACACGGCGGGTCAGGAGCGGTTTCATTCACTGGCTCCCTTGTATTATCGAGGATCCTCCGCGGCTGTCCTAGTGTATGATATTACCAAACTGGATTCATTTCATACCTTGAAGAAATGGGTTAAAGAACTGAAAGAACATGGCCCAGAAAACATTGTAATGGCTATTGCTGGAAACAAATGTGACCTCTCGGATATTAGGCAGGTGCCTCTGAAGGAGTCTGAAGAATATGCGGAATCCATTGGTGCCATAATGGTTGAAACGAGTGCTAAGGATGCTGTTAATATCAAAGAGCTCTTTCAAGGAATCAGCCGCAAGATCCCACCCTTAAAAGCCGAAGAAAACGGAAGGGATGAAGTGATCAGGCTTGGGAGCCCGAATGCATCAATAGGCCAGAAGCGGCGGTGCTGTTGACTGGGGGGCCATAGCACAGGGAACTATTAAGAAGCCAGAGCCTTAGCCCCTACAGGGACCTGCCATCGGAGGCCGGCATCTACCACACTCTTGGAAGACCTGCAGGGAGCAGAGCAGGAAATACCAATTGAAAAATACTTTAGAAATCTCTGGAAAAAAACACCATATCACCAAAATATGGCCTTTTTGTCCATGAAATTACCTAGTCAGTAATAGGTATAGTTGCCCTTTTTGCTGAAAACATTAGAAAACTTTTAGATTAGAACACAAGTCTTAAAACACTGTTTACGCTGACTTCTGGTGTCACCTAGCCAGATTTTAATAACATCTCCACAACCCATTGCCTTAATTACCCGACCAGTTTTTGCCAAACAGTATTGAAGCTAGCTTTGGAAGTAAGCTTGTATTACATTTCTAGTGAAAATCGGAGAAGTATAACTGGACCATCACTCAAGTTGAGTCTTGGCTTCTCTAAGAGAGAAGAAAGATGCATTTGAAAACATCATCGTCATCTTTTACTTGATGAACATTTTGCTAAACAGACCACACTAGAGTAAAATATTTCATACAATTTGGGAGTTGCGAGGCCTGGTTTTATAGAGTCAGTTAAGTAGTCATGTAAGCAGTGATAAATTGAATGTATGAATATAATTCAGGAGACCACTCAACATTCATCACTCCCAATAAATTTCTACACTCTGTAAGAAGCATTTACTCCACAGTGTATTATTTTACTAAGAGAATATATCATGTTATCTAGGGCAAAAATTAACTGTCGAATGATAAGTCTAAATTGTAGGGCAGACTTTAATAATAGCTATCAGAAGTCACAGTAAAGCCAGACAGAGGAAGTATTGCCACCATAAAATTCTAGCCCAAGACTGAATAATCAGTCTAGGCTTGAGGAGGATAAAAATAAGATCCAACCTGGTGATCCCAATGAACTGATCAGTGGAAACCTTCCTTTTCAGATACCCTGTCTGGTCAGTTAGTTAAAGATATCTGGGTCCAAAGGCAGTTAAAACAGAGAAAGCATGGAAAAGGAAGAACAACTATTGCTACTGAAAATTCGAATCCTGTTACTACTCTAATGTTCATAAAAGTTTGGCATCAAAAAGCACTTGATTTCTTAAGAGGGCTTGTACTGGCAGAGGATTCTTTCCATTTGTTGTTGTTGTTGTTGTTATTGTTGGTTGTGGGGCTTGAACTCTGGGCCTGGGCGCTGCTCCTCAGCTCTTCAGCTCAAGGCTAGCACTCTACCACTTGAGCCACAGCACCACTTCCGGCTTTTTCTATTTATGTGGTGCTGAGGAATCGAACCAAGGGCCTCATGCATGCATGCGAGGCAAGCACTTTTATCATTGAGCCACCTTTCCAGTCCCCTGTTTTGTTTTTGTTTGTTTGTTTTTTGGGTCCGGTCGTGGGGCCTGAACTCTGGGCCTGGATGCTGTCCCTCAGCTCTTCAGCTCAAGGCTAGCACTCTACCACTTGAGCCACAGTGCCACTTCCGGCTTTTTTTCTTTTTGCTTATGTGGTGCTGAGGAATCGAACCCAGGGCCTCGAGCACGCAAGGCAAGCGCTCTACCACTGAGCCACCTTCCCAGCCCTGTTTGTTTGTTTTAAAGCAGGCAATCTACAGCTAAGCTACAAATCTAGCCCTTTGTTGTGAGGGATGGGTTTTTTTTTTTTTTGGGGGGGGGGGTTGTTTTGTTGGTCATGGGGCTTGAACTCTGGGCCTGGTAGCTGTCCCTGAGCTCTTCAGTTTAAGTCTAGTGCTCTACCACTTGAGCCACAGCACTACTTCTAGCTTTCTGGTGGTTAATGGGAGATAAGAATCTCAGGGATGGGCTGGGAAGGTGGCTCAGTGGTGGAGCGCTTGCTTTGCATGCCTGAGGCCCTGGGTTCGATTCCTCAGCACCACATAAGCAAAAAAGAAGAAAGCCGGAAGTGGCACTGTGGCTCAAGTGGTAGAGCGCTAGCCTTGAGCTGAAGAGCTGAGGGACAGAGCCCAGGCCCAGAGTTCAGGCCCCACGACCGGACCCAAAAAAAAAAAAAAAAAAGAATCTCAGGGATTTTCTGCCCAGGCTGTCTTTGAACCATGATCCTCAGCTCTCAGCCTCCTGAGTAGCTAGGATTACAGGTATGAGCCACCAGCACCCAGTGTGAGGGCTATTTTTGATAGGGTCTTCTTGTCCAAATCACATGCGTAGACTATGATCTGCCTATTTCAGGCTAGGATAACAGGTGAACACCACTGTGTCAAGCTCTCTATTGATCTGAAAAAAACTTTTCTGTCCAGGCTGTTCTCAACTATGATCCTCCCAATCTCAGCCTCCTAAGTAGATAGGATTATGACCAAGAGCTACGTGTCCAGGTGGGAGGTGATTGTTAAAGATAGGAGGACTAGTGCCTTTTGAGAGGCCAGAAAAAAACATGTGGGCACAGGCTCAGAATTGGGTCAGCATGAAGTATCATAAAAACAAAAACAAAAATAAAAAACAGCAACTTACTGGGCACCAGTGGCTCATGCCTGTAATCCTAACTACTCAGGAGACTGAGATCTGAGGATGAAGGTGCAAAGCCAGCCAGGGCAGGAAGGTTCCTGAGACTTTTATCTCCAAATAACCACAAAAAGCAGCAAGTGGAGCTGTAGGTCAAGTGTTAGAGTATTAGCCTTGAGCACAAAAGCTCAGGGAGGACCAGCAAAAAACAACTAGTATGATCTTTCCATGAGTACTCAGACCCATCAAACCTTTAGTGATAACCTACAATGTGAAAGTCAGGAAAGAAACCTTGAGCTGACTCTTAAGCTGTCAGTGCTCCCCAAGTAGATATATAGATTCAAGACCCTGGGCACAGACAAGTTCCATGATGCATTTATAGAGAAGAAACTGCCGATATTTTCCCCTTTCCTTGTAATTCAGTGTTTACTGAGTAGTATATGGAGGATCTGGAAATATAGTCATGAAAGAAACAAGAATATACACTATGATAAAACAAGTTACGTAAACAAGGGAAAAGAAGTTCACAAATTTCTGCTTCTATAACCATGTGTGATGGTACACTGAATTAGTCAATTGATTGAGAAGTGCTAAGTTGGAGATAGGAATTAGGAGTTTGGTTTGAACCCATGAAACATGTTAGATATACCCAGAGAGCTTAAATAGATATAAGGATTAAAGTCTTGAGTTGAGAGGGAACATGAAGGCTGGAGATAGAGATTTGTCAGCCAGTATCATACAAATGATATTTCCAACCAAGAGAGGACTGGGTGCGGGTAACTCACTCTTGTAATCTTAGATACTCAGGAGGTTGAGAGCTGAGGTTCAAAGCCAGCCTGTGTAGAAAAGTCCCCATGAGACTCTTATCTCCAATTAACCACTCAAAAACTGAAAGTAGAGCTGTGGCTCAAAGTGGTAGAGCACAAACCTTGAGCAAAAGAGCTCAGGGACAGCACCCAGGCCCTGAGTTCAAGCCCATAACCAACAAAGAAGAGGGGGCTCAAGGTATGGCTCAAGTGGTAGAGCACCTGGCTAGCAAGTGAGAGGCTCTGAGATCAAAACCCCATTATCACCAAGAATAAAATTAAGACCAAAGTACCTATGAAATCAGAACAAATTTCAAAAAGGAAAGACCCAAGGCCAAATGCTTGAATACTCTGATGTTTTAAGGCAGAAAGAGGAAGAGTCCAACGAAGGGAAGTTCAGAAGCTGTTATCAGTGAGGTGGGAGATTTTGATGTTCTAGAAACCATTAAGATAATGGATAAAGGAAGGGCAGGGGAAACAGTTATAATATTTCAAGTAGGATTTTTTTTTCTTGCCAGTCCTGGGGCTAGCACTCTACCACAGCGCCATTTCTGGCCTTTTCTGTTTATGTAGTACTAAGGAATCAAACCCAGGGTTTCATGCTTGCTAGGCAAGCACTCTACCACTAAGCCACATTCCAAGCCCTGAAGTAGATTTTTGATCATGGGGCTTGAACTCTGGGCCTGTGTGTTGTCCCTCAGCTCTTCAGCTGGAGGCTAGCACTCTTACCACTTAAGCCACAACACCACGTCTGGCTTTTTCTGTTTATGTGGTAAAGGAATCGAACCCAGAGCATCATGCATGGGAGGCAAGCGCTCTGACCCTGAGCCACATTCCAAGCTCTTGGTTCTTTTATTTTTCTTTATTTATTTTGTGCCAGTACTGGGGCTTAAACTCAGGACTTCTGTACTCTTTCTTGACCTTTTCAGCTGACTCTCTACCACTGAAGCCACACCTCCTCTTCCAGCTTTTTTTGCTGATTAATCAAAGATAAGAGTATAAGGTTTCTCTGCTTTGATTGGTTGTGAATATAAGTCCTCAGATCTTAGCCTCCTGAATAGATTAGATTAAAATCATGAACCAGGGGCTGGGAAGGTGGCTCAGTGGTAGAGCGCTTGCCTTGCATGCCTGAGGCCCTGGTTCGATTCCTCAGTACCACATAAGAAAAAAGCCGGAAATGGTGCTTTGGCTCAAGTGGTAGGGCGGTAGCCTTGAGCTGAAGAGCTGAGGGACAGCGCCCAGACCCAGAGTTCAGGTCCCACGACCGGACCCAAAAATAAAATAAATAAATAAAATAAAATCATGAACCACGGTGGCTGGGAAGGTGGCTCAGTGGTAGAATGCTTGCCTTGCATGCATGAGTCCCTGGGTTCCATTCCTCAGCACCACATAAGCAAAAAGAAAAAAAGCTGGAAGTGGCGCTGTGGCTCAAGTAGTAGAGCACTAGCTTTGAGCTGAAGAGCTGAAGGACAGAGCCCAGGCCCAGAGTTCAGGCCCCACGACCAGACCCCACCCCCCCCCCAAAAAAAAATCATGAACCACTAGCAGTAGGCCATTTTAGCTCATTTTTTATATGATGTGTGGCTGGTGGAAGTTCAACTTCATTCTTTTGTTGTGGATATCTAGTTGTCTCAGTAACTAGTTGTTGAATTTTTGTGACACTATTCAGATCATTTTTAATAGGATTTTTGTTTCTTACAAAGTATACTTCTGAATCAACTGTATAGTAGTTATTATACATAATGTTCTACAAACTCAGTAATAAACATAGGATATGAAGAGGCTATCATTATGGTCTTGCAGGTCCACAATAATGCACATTAGTTTGAGGATGAATTTGCTATTGCACTAATTGATGACATTCCAGGAGATGGCTGTGGACTTATTACAGAGGAAATAGCAGCTGTGTGTTGTGTAATCAGGGAGCCCTGTATTGGGAAGTAAAGCTAGAGAACTGCAGAAACCTCATTTAGTGGGTAAGGACAGTGGGTGCTGACTCTTTGAGATAATGCAGAATGTACCAACTTAGTGCCCCCCCCTTTTAAAGACTTGTCAAAGCTATAAATATCCTAAAGTATGAATCAGTTTGGCCTTGAGTTTTAGTGACTGAAGATTTCTAATCCCCTTTGTGCTCATATAATCTTAATTCTTTTACCTCCCAAATAGAGAAGGATCTCTTCTGTTCTAAAGTCTATCATAACCCCTTTAGGAACTTTGATGCTGGCACCAGTGGCTCACACTTGTAATCCTAGCTATTCAGGAGGCTAAGATCTGAGGATCATGGTTCAAAGCCAGCCTGGGTATGAAAGTTCATGAGACTCTTATCTCCAGTTACCCACCAGAAAACCAGAAGTGGA